ACTTAATTTAAGTTATTTTTAAAAACGTTTACTGAAATGCTTGTTGGGCTACATATATAAATATATGCAAATACATACATACATATGTATATATGAAAACAACGCCCAGCCATGGAGGCATGGATGAATTTGGCAATAACTACTCAAGAAAACGTTTGTTGAGACAAAATTCATTGACAACAAGGAATGAGTTCGGTATATTTGCACATATGTATATATCGCACACCGCCTTCAAAAGAGACATAACTCAAAAAAAATAAAGGCGCGAGTTCTAAAGTTGACCGCGAAAAAGACGCATAAAAAATCTTCAGGGAAGAAACATAGTTGGCGGCGAGGAAAGGCCCGTTAAAATATTTGACGGCGAAGGAAGACGCGTAAACCTATTTTCGCGCTCAACTACGTTTGCGGTTATAACAGTATGTAAATTCCCCAAAGAGTTTTTACGAAATGATGCTGAAGTCACAGTCTTTGGCGAGGTATAAATCTATGTTTACGCGCCTTTCTTCGCCGTCAACTAGGTTACGCGTCTTTCTCCGCCGAAGTTTTTCTGGAGTGTTTTTTTTCCGTAAAATCTTTTTTACGCGTCCTTTTTCGCCGACAAAACACTAGCGCGCCTTTATTCGAGTCTAGTGACGATATTCTCTGACTAAAAAACTACTGTTATAGCTGTTTCTGCATCAATTGCGTTAAATCTGCACGATCCACAAGCAGTTATATTTCCGGATCTGATTTTTGAGTTGTTCCTCTTTTGAAGACGGTGTGCGATATGTACACATAAATCGGAGCTGGGCCACTTAAATTTGAATCAGCGATACTAATGTTCATCGATGTTTCTAAATCTAAATGATCAGAAAAGCTGAGGGTTTACAAAACTTCTTTCCTAAAATATAACTTCAATATCTACCATCAGAATACTACTTGTAATATATCTATTATTTAGCAAGTGCATATCTGCGGCTACTAAGGGGCTCAGAATACATCAGTTACGGTGGTGAAATGGTTTGATAAGCTGAATATTATTGGTCAGAGCCATCGAATTTGGGAAGCGATGGATTTCGGAACATTTTCGTATTATAGGAAATTAAATTTCCAACGGTGGTGCCTATTTACGTTGCTGATGTTTTTGGTCAGACGCTTATTGCGCAATTTGGAGTAAGAGTATTATTACATTAGATCTTGAAGCCATGGCCGGTATACCACATTTTTGAAGTTATAGTTATTTACAAATAGTTGCTGCCCACAAGTTGAATGAAATATAAAAAGCGTATCAAATTGTACAATTTTTGAAAAATCGCAGCAAAGTCCCAACGCTGGCATACAACTTGTGGTGAATCTTGATAACAACAACACGCCTACCGCGAAAAGTAGATTTTCCATCGTTTTTAAATGGTTTGAAAAGATTTACAAATTTTCTTGTGGCTGCTGATGCCCACGTAGTGCTTGTCAAAGACAAGCTGGATCAACGTAACTGGCTGTTTGTTATCACTTTGAGTGGCGATAATTTAATAATTATGGTCAAAAAGTATTTAAAAATGCTTGTAAGTTATACTTATTTATGGATTTATAGTATAAATGTATGTAAGTATGGGCATATGTATGTATGTATGTAGCATTTTATTATTTCCATAACTGCTTTGCTTTAAGCTTTTTCTTTTGCCGGCACTGCATTGACCGCCTGCCGCTGTTATGTCTGCTTCTTCAGCAGCCTACTAACTACCACTAATGCTGCTGCTGTTGGTTCAGCTATTAATTGATTTGTTGCTAGTTTTTTTGTGAATCAGCTTACTCGTAGCTTACGGGTGGTGTGAGATGGTCTTCTGCGTAGGTACTTTTGTTTTTCTGTTTGGTTGTTGGCATTTGCTTCTTTTTCTTGTGTTCTTCATTTTTTTGATGGTCGCATGCCCCTGCCGGCCATCGTTGCCTGGTCCACATAATACATATAAATAACAAAGTAAGTCTGAAGCTCATCATCATTTGTGTTTCGGTCTCCTCGAGTGTGTTAGCTTGTCGCTCTATAAAACCAAATTAATTTGAATATCAGAGCATTAGCCAATTCGGTTTAGCGCTGCAGCAATAACAGAAAGAAATACCAGAAAAATGGTAGGTGTTTGAGGTTTAGATGATTTGGTGTTGAGGTCATTTAATGAGTGAACGGAACGGAAGTGATTTGTGTTATAAATAATTGATTAGATACATACATAAATAGATATGTTAATGCAAATGTTAATGCATATGTTAATGCATATGTTAATGCATATGTATAATCAAATAATTAAAACTAATGCAAGTGAAATATGTATGCGGAATGCTACTGAGGTGTTGAGTGAGCGAAATACATAGATACCTATGAAATATAAATATTTACATATATCCTTGAAAAAATGAGGACAGCGATAATGAATTTTCAACGTGTATTTAATCTAATCAAACCCGAAAAATTAAATCCCCTTACCCAAAAGACAGTGATAACTAAGGATAAACTAGTCGGTTAACTTTTACTAAAACGATTTTTTAAACTTTCGACAGTTGTTTCAATTTGTAGCTTCTTAATCACCGAGCGCTTCTTCATGCATATGAACATTTCTTCTTAATATAATGTTGAATAAAGACAAAAACTCTTAATTATGGTAATTTTTAATGAGCCAACTACTGGTTCGCATTAATTCAACTTTCTAAAAGTGCCGATAAACCAAGAAAAAAGGACAATTTGTACGAGTACTAAAAATATAATTGAACAGGTTTTACTAGCCGTTAGTCTTAAGTGAGCATACATTTTTGCCAATTAGAGAATTTCCGAATGAAAGACAATTGTGATCATGGCTTATCCCAAAATAAATAAATTTATTTCCTTTCTCTGTTTTGTTCTTTTGCCAAGTACGTGTGTTTTATTTAATGTTCCAGCTGCTCATAAATTTTTGTTGTTTTGTCAAGTTCGCGTGCTTGATTTGATGTCTAAATCCCAGCTGCTCAGAAATTGTTGGACAAAGAAGAAAAATAATCCCCAGTGAAACTGGTCTAAAACTAATAAAATTATCTCTTTATTATCAAATGAGCATAGATACGTTATTAAACCATCACTGATCTACCATTCCATCTCTGAATGGCAAAAATTAAAAGCACCACAGCCAGCTGCGGTCGAAAAAAAAATAATGGCCTTAGACTGTTTTGGTATTGTCTCGTGCTCGGCGGGACACTCTGATTATATATGTATACCCTCAAGAAGTTGCCTACTTAATACCTTACTAACTCACAGCCAGCCGAGCTAGGTTGATAGAATGAATAATGGCACAACTTCGTGGAGGGAAGACGGCCCGAAATTTTTCCGTGGAAAAGTTAATGTAAAATTTGGCGAGACATTAAGAGCCAAAGCCTGCTCTGCCAATGCCCACCTATTCAAAGGGGTCAAGTGCTCGGTAAATATTTCTTAACTGAGACTGGTCATTCCTGGTTAAAAGAAATTATAATTCCGTTGATCGAGCGGATAAAATTGTAAATTGACAGTCAGGTAGGCTCTATGGCTCTGCTTTCATATACTAACTATTCAAAAACCGTTATAGAATGTAAGAAAGTAATAGGGAGGTTAGCCTGAGATAAACTACGTGTCAGTCAGTGGCGTCAGTGTATGTATAATATGGCGTCTATGTATTAAAACACCCCCGTGGGTCCGCCACTGACTGACACGTAGTTTACCGCCAAAACCCCCCCGCTGGATCCGCTCCTGATACCAGCCGTTTCTCTTCTGTGCCAACTGACGCCAATTGGAAATGCCAGGTGAAGCCAATCCCTTCTCCAATTGGCCTTTTCAACGGAAAAACTTTCCACCTAAATAAATATATTAGGGGTATTCTCTGAGTCTTGCAAAGCCCTTGCACGGTGCACGGATTGCACGGTTTGCAAAGCTGTCCCATACGAAAACCGGTTTTTATCGTGCAATCCGTGCAATCCGTGCAATCTGTGCACCATGCAAGGACTTTGCAAGACTCGGAGAATACCCTTATTGTGTCTAAAAACACAAAGGTGTTTACCTTCAAGAGTTGACGAGTTAGCCAAAAAGGGTGTTGTTTTCGATGCCTCACTAGCGATGGATATGACAATTTCTGCAGAGAGAAACAAACGATTACACTAACTTCACATGTACCGCCATGCAAGGTATGGTAACATGCACAGGATTGCAAGGTTGCAAGGACTAGGTTGTACAATAAAAAATTTACAGATTTCTTGCTAAGAATAGGAAGGGAAGACTTAGTTAAGGCTTCTGATATGAATATTAACGAGGCTGTGGTTGCTAGCAATAAATTCATTCAAACTAAGTTATGTGGAAGAACAAACAATTAAAAAGCTTTCAGCAGGAAAAGACTCGCAATACTAGGTGAAGTTGCCAACAGGTCCTAAAATCAGCAATCTACGTTTGGCCAAAGTATCTAGTTTAATTCGCTAAAGAGACGGCAGTTATCTGTAACATTGTCCAGGTTAGTGTATCTGGTAACCCTACGGACGTTCTTTTGATGCATAGCCTGTACATCCTAACGTAACCCAAGTTGTTTTCATGCAAGAGGGCAACTTTACTTCTAAAATCTAAATTCCATGAAAAGGATAACTCAGTGTTTACGAGAAGGTCCTTCTGTGATTTTCCTGGTGTATGTCCGCAAGCGATTTCGGGCTCGAGCGGAGTTGTTGTCAGTTTTCCGCTTCTGTATACATTGGCCACATAAGTGCTGTTCTCTTTCTTTAATATCGTACACTTTAACATTATCTTGTATTATACAAACTGTAGCATACATATTCTTCCCTTAATTTGTTATAGTTTTTTCATGGACTTTATGACCATGGGACAAGAGGCCAGGCAGCTCAGGTACCGGTTCTTGCAGCAATACGAATTTATTTGTTGTAACTGATGTGTTGACAGAGTCGATTAGAATGAAACCCAGCTCAATGCTATTTACGACACTGTTAGCCACAGTATTTGAAAATAAAAGGCTGGAAAGTCAGCTGTAAGGAATATGTTCCCAACGAATATTTTTGCGGCCTTCACTGACGAGGATCCACAATTTTCTTCGACGGAGGTAGTAGATAGAGGAAAAGTAATTTTAGTAGCGATTCTGGTTTCTGAATCTCCATTTATGTCCCTACCATACCGTTGTATAAAGACCCTATATAGCTACAACGGATATCCGACCATCAGCAGATACATCTGAACAAGTTTAAATTGATTCCACAGCTAAGCTTCAATAACAAACTTGTATGTACGCTTTGCTCTTCACTATGCGCTCGCCCATTGAATAATATGTCTTTGAAATCGAAGGTTTGCTCGATGCTCTTTGCTAATAAAAAGTATGTGTTCAGCGGTATTCATAACTTTAATAGCTACATACAACTTTATGTGAAGGTATCTCTCAATAATTTCATTCCCAATTTGACTAGTGTAATTTCAAACAGAAAGACAAAGAAACAGCTCAGAGACCATTCGAATTATAAAAAACCAACCCAAAATTGACGCCACCAACCAGCTGGTGCACGCACACCCTAACAAGGAGTTGTCGCTTCTCTGATCAGCTTACGCATTTCTGGATTATGGATTCAACATTTTATTGAGTAGCGTAAATGAAATGATAAATGCGTACATTTCTTAGTTTAGTGGATCAGAAGAATCCCGTATTTTTGCAAATTAAACTGCTAAAATGAATCCACTTTTATACTGTTATCAAAAATAGTTATACATATTCAATCTTATTTTCCTTTTTCTTTTTGCAGAAACTTATCATACTCGCTTTTGCCATAATTGGTTGCGTGGCTGCCATATCTGTACCTGACTCCGCCACACAAGGGCCCAATCCCCAGGATATCGCCACACCAGAACCCGAATATATCGATATCGATGAGCCGCTACCAGTATCTGCTCCCGCACCAGTTCCAGTACAGTCTCGTGCTAGTTTCGTGGCAGCGCCACGACCCGTGGCTCGTCCAATTCCTGCAGCTGCTCCCTCCCACGTTTCTCCTTCGTTTGTGCGCTCACCTAACCAGTCCTACCTGCCACCCGGGGTTCAACAAGTATCTGGGCATACTTTCAACCCACAAAGCGGCTATCAATACAGACAAGTACGCAGGCGCGTTTTCTACCGTCGTCGTTATTAGGCGGGGAGATTAGTCAATCCAGTACTGTTGACCATTGAAGTTGGAAAAAATTTAATAAATAGAGGGTGCAAATTAGTTACATAGCTGCACATCGGAATAAATAGCATATTTTGCAGTGCAACCATGCTTGTATAGGGCACTGACTAAAAAGTTGTACATATACATTTAAAATATTACCTTCTTAGTTTTTGTTAGCAACTTTTTTCATTTACCTGATGAAAATCTATTTAACTCTACTTCTATCATTGGAAGCAGCTGCATACTATACATTTTTCTCAGGACATAAGTAATACATATTTATACATGGTAAGACAAAAAATACACACACAAATACATGATCACACACATACACAAACTCACGCTTATTGAAGACTCAATTACTCAGGTTTTATATTTAATGGAAGGCAATGCTATAGTTACTAATTGTTATTGAACTGTACAATAAAAAAATAACTATCTACCATCGAGGGGATGTGCATGAACGCTGATATTTCGAAGTTGTCTAAATTTGGTTTTTTTATTTAGCGTGCAACATTCTTCAGAACTAAATAAACTAAGGAAACAGCAACAACGAAAATGAGAACTAAATAAAGTATTTATACTAGTACCTGTGTACAAATAATTAAAAAATATGTTTTATTTTTCAAATGGGTGCAATATTTATAACAAAATCACAGGCCTATGGGCGTTCGTCGATGAATTTATCTGCAAGATATACAGTATTGGTCATATATAGTGATTTTCTTTGCCACTTATGTTTAATTAGTAATTTTTAAGAATTTGCAGTTATTTCCCGAACAAAACCCATACAAACCCAAATTTAAAACTTTGTAAAAGACTACAAAAGATGCAAAAAAATTCCACCCAAATTTCAAACTTTTTTCTCAGAGGTGTTAGATTTTTTTTGAGCACAAAGTTTCATAGCCCATTCAATTTTAGTGTGATAATGTGAAAGTTTCAAGTGGCCTAAAATTGTCGTTGATTTTTTAGATTTTTTTTGTCGCATTTGCCTCCATATAACGAGTTAACATAAAAAAAGAAAAAGATTCTAAAAAACTGAACGGCAATTTTTAGCAACTTGAAACTTTCACATTATCAGACTAAAATTGAATGGGCTATAAAAAATTCAAACACTTCTAAGAAAAAAATTTGAATTTTAGGCGAAAAATTTATTGCCTTTTTATAGTTTCCTAGAAAGTTTTAAACTTGGATATATATAGGTTTTGTTAGAGAAATAACTGTATTTTAATTAAAAATTCATAAAAATAAATAAATAAACATGAGTGGCCAACAATATCACTTTGAAATTGTATTGCTAATGTATTTACCGATACTGTGCATATCTATGTACATTATGGTAGCCCAAAAACAGTAGTCGGAATTGTATTTCTCACCCCTCCTAGGATTGTTCTATATCGAAAAAAGTATACCCTTATTTTTTTATTTTGAAATAAAAAAATATTTAGAGGTCGCTCAAAGCGCTCAAAGTTTTCCATGCATTTTTGTATGGGAAAAAGACAACTTTTCGTAGAAATGGTATAGAATTCTTGAAAATCAATATTTTTCGATCGGAAATCTCTGGTTCTCATCAGGAGACTTTCAATAATAATACCCAATTATTTATTTAACTATTCTTTAATATTAACAATTTCTTATTGGTCCCCCTTTTGCATTTTGCGGGGTTTTTGGCGGACCTATAAATTATAGTTGCAATGAAAAGATGGTTAAATAAACAAATGGGTACTATCACTGGGAGTCTTCTACAGATAAACAGAGCTTTCCGATAGAAAAATATTGATTTTTAAGAATTCTGTACCGTTTCTACGAAAAGTTGATTTTTTCCCATATAAAATACATGGAAAACTGCGAGCGCTTTGAGCGACCTCTAAATATTTTTTGATTTCAAAATAAAAAATAAGGGTATATTTTGTTTCGGTATAGAAAAATCCTAGGGAGTGAGAGCATACAAATTCCGACTTCACCTTTTCACATGCATTTTTGGACCACCCTAATGTACATACACATCGACATCCGAGTGGAAGATCGACCTCTCTCGGCAGCCTGTTCGAAAACGCCCTTTCTCAGAAAACTTCTCAAGAACGCCCTACTTAAGAATTTGATTGAAAAACGCTTTATTTCAGAATTTTATTAGAAAACACCCTATCTCAGAATTCGGTTGCAAAAAACACCCTATCTCATCTGAAAATACATTGAAAATGTGCTGAGAAAGGGCTTTTTTGAATCAGCTGCTGAGAAAGAGCATTCTTCAATCAAATTCTGAAGTCGGGAGTTTTTAAAAATTTTCTAAGATAGGGCGTTTTCGAAATGGCTGCCGAGATAGGTCTATCTTCCACTCAGGTATCAATATGCACGCATCAGTATAAAATTCATAGGCCGTATTCATATAAATGCATATCGTCGTTGAAAGTACAAAACCGCGTATCATTATGCTGCAAAACCGCGTAACTGAAATTTGCTGCCAAAAATTGGATTTGCTCACACAAGCTAATTCTATTATTATGGCTATTATTATTATTATAGCTATTATTTGTGGCTAGAAATGAAAAATATAATTAAAAATATGTATGTGTTTTTATTTTTATTTTATTTGTTTAAAACCATTTTCAGTACCAGCTTGAGGTAGGTTTTAATTTGAACTCAGTTTTAAGCGAAAAAAACAGGTACTAACTCCACTATGATTAATATAAACTATATAAGTTATCTTGAACCCCTGTTTAAAATGCATATATTTAGAACCGGTTTACTTTTGACTATGATTGTGCTGCAACGTCTCTAAATACTAGCGTTTATTTTGGTCCCACGCGGCACTACTACGAGAATGGGTTAATATTTAATTCCAAGTATTTTCTTTAAAAAACTATAGAATTTTTAACAATACTGTAAACATTTGAAAAATCATGCGATTTTAATTCCTACTTAATTGCTATTGAGCCTACCGAATGTCAATGCTGTTTAAATAAATAATACCTAAATACATTCACCCAATTAACATAAACATGTAGTTCCAGTGACCGGTTTACTTTGCCAGACTTGACTAATATTTATTTCATGGTATGTCATTAAAATTAATTGACATTCAAAACAATATATATATATGTATGTATAAATTGTATGCGCTTGGTTTTGTTTCTAAGTTTAGCTAAAATATGATTTACACAATACAAATGTACATAAATATGCAAATAGGCCATTCGAAAAATGCAGTCATTTCTAATATTTTATTAACTTCACCAGTTCACATATTGATGACGATTATAGTGCCCAAGTCTGCAGTGGCCTAGAGAGGGGATAGATAAAATCGATAATATGGTAATTNTTATCCAGGCTACGTGTGTATTGTTTACCCTCTGCTAATCAGAGCTGGTGTTAGATAGTAAGCTACGAAAAAATAATAAAAAATTGTATCACTTAAATTTTTCGAGAAATATTTCTTAGCGTCATATAACTCAAGAATGGTAATTCTTAGGAAAAACACTTAATTACATGATCTACACTTTTTTCTAACCTACTTTAAGGATAAACCTTACCGTTTGGCTGAAAAAGCAAAAAAATAAAATTTATGTGACCTTCTACCTTAAATAAATTTGTTTGCAGATGTGGGGTCTATAAGAACTTTTCATATTTCATGTACATATGTATAATGGTGTGCGCAACATTCGTACTAATTTTTAGCTTAACTTGACCAGCAATAGTTATGCTATTCATGATTTAAAAATATAAGAATCTAAATAAGTTACAAGCATGTTTGCCGATTTTGGTTGACTATATCTGGGCATTGCACATTGTGCACAGCTATGGATGTAAAATACCTTATAGTGTGAGGGCATTATATATGCCCAGGCGCATACCTAGACTAGAAAAATGTATGTATGAAGAACTTTCCGCATGTTAACTGTATTTGTTTTGAGTGTTTGTGTGGCAAGTGAGCAGAATTGCGGTGTCCGTGTAAAAATAGAAAAACCCCCACATTATTACACGGTGGCAAACAAATAATTTTTTATACATATTTTTTCATTTACTCATCCACGTACAAGTTTTCAGCCAGCTGGTTCACATAAGATTAGCAAATTTGAATTTTTTTATTTTTACATGTTGTAGTTATATTTACATTTATGAACTTCGCAGTTACATATTTTATTTGTTTAAGGAATGTGACACCATGTTGATATGCGACACGTTTTACGTACAAATTTGCATTTTCCTCTTGGCAATGCAAATACATATCCGAAAACGTCGACGAATGTACAGGGATTGCAGCTAAAAATAAAACAGTTAATAAAGAAAGTAAAGTAAATAGCACTACAAAAATTAAAGAAAAAAATCTTAAAATAAAAAAGAGTGTAGAAATTTTCAAACTATGGCGCACAGTGGTTCAGCCCCATACATTTTTTGGAGAGAATAAGAAGGATGTAATTTCTAAAGCCATAAATCAAGAGAAAGTGAAAGATGGGTGTTATCGATTTATTTTAAAGGCACCGATGAATGTAGGACTCCGAAATTTGTTCCGTATATTTCCAATGATAGAGTAAGAGCGCGGTTAACATTCCGTGCCGACCTATGAAGACTGTTATCTTCTCGATCTTGCTCTGAAGTCCGTTACAGTTAAATTGTAAAATCTTCGTGTGCCTAGGGAGACTTATTGGAATATGAGGTGTTAATGAGGTGTGTTGCCTGCCCGCCACTTGCTGTGTGTGCTGATGTGAAGTCTGTTGCTCTGTGGTGGTAGTGGTCGGCGTCGCAGTTGGCACTTGCGACCGAGCAGCACAGCAAGGGCCCTCATAGAGTCTCGTCCAATCTCGCGTGGCGCGCAGATCTGAACATGCCCTAAACTGCCACCAGGAAAAGCAAGTGTTGCACTTGACTGATGTCACGTTACGGAATATCACTGACTAACACACCGTGCAGATTGTCGGAGGAACTAGGAGTTGTTGGTGGCGGCGTGTGGGGTGTGATGCGGTTGTGTTTGTGTTGAGTTGCTCAGGTGGATTCTGGTGTGCCGTAAAGGCAGCTCGGTTTGAGCAGCAAGGGGCCACGTATGAGGTGGTCCACTTTCTTTGAGTCGTAAGGCCTGAGCAAACTCGGAGGTGGCTCCACCCAGTAAATGAGTTGCACCTCATGGAGGTGGAGTTGTGTTGTAGTCGTCTCTGGCACATGCAGCAGGTATACGATTCTGGTCCAGGGTTTGACTCAATGCCATCCGTGCGCAGAAGTATGTGAAGAAGATATAGCCCTGCGAACGTACTACTTTTTAGATCGCCGAAGCAACAGTCCTTGGTCGGGTAAAACCCGAGTCATTCCGGTACGTATAACCGGGTAATGCTTGCATTATTTTCGAAGGAAATAGGTTTGTTAGTTAAATAAGTCTTTGCAAATAGAATATCAGATAATTGTAGCTGGAAAAGATTACTTATTAATCCTAAGTGGTATAGAAATAATTAGTGCAATATCGTGAT